TCCTCTGCTGCCTGGCCCAGGCTGCCCCCCCGGGCCCCCAAACCCCACAGCTGTGCACAGGCCGGGACCTCAGCCCAGGGTTCAGTCAGGGTTACTCCACAGGCCCTGCCCAGTGGGACGTGGGACCTCCTCACAGCATGTCAGGGCAAGAAGACCTGAGGTCACCCTGTTCGACACCCCCATTTTCTTGATTTATTTTGATTGTTTTTCGACACCCCCATTTTAAAGACGAGGGAGCGAGACCCAGAGAGGGAGCACAGCGGCAGTGGCCAGGCCTCGAATGGGCTCTGAACACCCTGGGGACCCACGAGCTGGAGGAGACGGCGTGCCCAGTGCCCCTGGGAGACCCGGGAGGGACTGTGGGGTGGGGCTGGGGCCAGGTGCTGCTCAAGGGGCGGACTTCCTCTCAGGCCTCCGGTTCCACGCTGGCCGGGCAGCTGCTGCTGGCCTTCCTGGGCACCGGCTATTGGCCAAGCCAGACCGCGCGCGCCCTGGGGCGGGGGTACCCAGCCGGTGCCACGGAAGTGCCGATGGAGTGAACGGCAGAATGTAAACACACAGAGGACCACGTACCCTAAACGGCGCCCTCGGTTTAATCTGAAACGCGCCTTTGACATCCAGACGCAGGCCTACCTGAGGCCACGTGAGCGCTTGTTAAGCCGTTGCTTTCACAGATGCTTTGCCTTCAGTAAAGCCCAGCTTTCCTCATTTCCCTGGGAACTCACAGGAGCCACAACATGCTTGCTGAGCAAGTCAATGAGAAAGAACAAAACTGTGTTGAGCGGGGGTGGGGGGTGGGGGGGCAGGCTCCCCACCCCCATGAGGGGTTGTCCTGCCTGTGGAGTCCCTGAGGCCTAGCACCTCCGCCTGACCCTCGACCCCTCGGACGAGCCACAGCTGGCGAAGAGGCACCCGTCAATGCCGTGAAGGAAACGAAACCCACGCATCCGGGGCTCGCAGGGAAAGGAGTCACCAGGATAAAGAGTCTGAGTCTATAGCCCGGCCGGCTTGGCTCAGCGTCGGCCTGGGAACCAGGTCTCGGTTCAGTTCCCGGTCAGGGCACAGGCCCGGGCTGCAGGCTGGATCCCCAGTGGGGGGTGTGCAGGAGGCAGCCGATCCATGATTCTCTCATCATCGATGTCTCTATCTCTCTCTCCCTCTCCTCTCCTCTCTGAAACGAATACAAATATATCTTATGTTTCTATTATACATACTGTTATAAACAATGCTCAGGATGGAGTTTTTCGTGGCCCCGTCCCCCTGTGGTGGTCATGGGGGGCTACCCTGGGAGGGCCCTCGCCCGCCTTCCTATGTCAGCCTCGAGCCCAGCTCTGCCTGGAGGAATGACCCAGGCCTCCTGCACCTCACGAGGCGGGGACAGTGGTGGCCTGTGTGTGTGCAGTGGGAGCTGCTCCTGGCCCAAGGCTTCCCTGTGTCCTGGAGCCTGACCGCTGGAGAGAGGGCGGTCCAGTCAGGGAGCAGCCAGAGAACCAGCCGCCCTCCCCAGTGCAGAGGGCCTGGATGGACGATGAGTGCAGGGGAGGGTGCGGGGGGGGGGGGGGGGTGGAGGGTGGTGGGGAGGAGGGTGGCCCTGGAGCAGCCCAGCTGGGCTTGAACCGTTCCTTCTGCAACGCCGCCCGGAGCAGCCACGCCGGGAGGTGCACGTCGCAAAAGAGGCTCTCAGGTTGTGTATTCCCACGGAAGTTAGCCTATGAACTAAGTCAAAATACTCACATCTTGCCCTGGCTGGTGTGGCTCAGTGGAGAGAGCGTCGGCCTGCAGAATGAAGGGTCCCGGGTTCGATTCCGGTCAAGGGCACGTACCTCAGTTGCAGGCTCCTCCCCGGCCTCGGCCCTGGTCGGGGTGCGTGCAGGAGGCAACCAATCGATGTGTTTCTCTCACATGGATGTTTCTCTCTGCCTTTTCCCCTCCCTTCCACTCTCCCTAAAAATCAATGGAGAAATATCCTCGGGTGAGGATTACAAAAAATACTCACACCTTAGGGTTGGAAATAGGTGCCAATGCTGCATGCCTTCAGCACCCGGCTTTACGTATTTTATATTTTTGTAATCCTCACCCCAGGACGTGTTCACTGATTTCAGAGGGAGGGAGAGAAACATCGGTCCGCTGCCTCCTGTACGCACCCCAACCACAGATCCAACCGGATGTGCCCTGACCGGGAATCGAACCCGAAACCTCTCAGTGTAGGGGATGACGCGCCCACGGACCGAGCCACACGGGCCAGGGCTCGTCTTTATTTTCATGGTGTGAGACCAGCTATGTGGGCAGTGGGACTTAGTTCCCACGCTTACTGACTTTTTTGGTATCGACTTTTCACTTCACTAATCAGGGCTTGACTACCTCAGATGCAAGGTCACTCGGGGGTGGGCTGGACCGACCGGCACTTCCCTTTTCCTAGCAAATCCGTCACAGACAGAAACGAGAGGGAAATTTCACTCGCCACAGACGAGCGCAGCACCCTCACGCACCAGAGACGCTTCGTTCGCAGGGATCCCAAATGTGTCTTAATTAAAACAGACTCTGTTCCTGCTTTTAATTCTGATTAAAGCGCGTCTCCCAAGGGCTGCTGCCAAGTCACGCTCTGATGGCTTGTGCTTCAAGCGCAGGCCCACGCGGCTGTTTTGCTGGTTGTTTTTCAAGCTACACTCTCCCTTTCCTCCCGAGGAAACGAAACCTGGATTTCTCGTTGAGCCCTTTCCAGACGCCCTGGCAGCAGCGCGACAAGAAGTGACAGGGTCCGAGACGTCGGGAACAGGGAACGTCTCTGTGTAAGGGAGGGGCACGCCCTTCTCTTCTTTCCCTCCTGCTGCCTGGACCCAGGAGGTGATGGCAGGAACTTAGGCAGCCATTCTGCACTGGGAGGCAACATGTTAAGGATGGTAGGAGAGCAAGCTCGAAGGGCCCAGGTCCCTGAGGAGTTCTGGGGGCTGCCGTACCTCCCAGGATCGCCTCCCTCTGGGTCTCCTTTATGGAAACATGAATAATCTTATTTAGGCTGCAATGATGCTGCATTTTTCTTCCCTGCAGCTGAAACCAGTCCTCAGGGACACGCCCACTGCCCTGAGGTTGGCCTTCACCCCAAGTAGCTTCAATCTGGGCAGGAGAATCTGAGCAGCAGCAACCACCCCGGCCTTGGAGTCAGTCAAAGACAGACCCACAGAGCACAGTCCACCACGTGTCTGCCCGAGTCACACGCCGGACAAGGTGTCTGGGGGAGGAGCAGGTTTCAGGGGGCAGATGGAGAGCGCAGAGGGACACGCTGGGTTTCAGGGGATCTGTCACACACTAACTGGCAAAGAACAGGTGGAGGGGCTTGGGCTCCCGGGGCAAGGCTCAGGCTGCAGACGGGAGTGTGGGGCAGGTGGGGAAATGGCTGTGTGCGAAATATGACGCAGGAAGGCGCCCGAAATGACAGGGATGCTTCCCCGCACTAAGTCTGGAGGCTCTCGAGTGAGAAGGTGGGAGAGCCAGAGGAGGCTCAGCCAAGGAGACGGAGAAGAGCCGCAGGGAGCGGCAGAGACCGCGACGATGGGTGATCCGGCACGGGTGGTCCTCCCGGCCAGGAGCACGGTGTCTGGGAGGGGAGCACTCCGCGGGCCACCTGCTGCTGGGCTGAGCTCCGATCGCTGGACTTAGCAGCACTGAGGTCAGGGATGACTTTGAGGGACAGCCTCGCAGGAGGGGCTGGTGGGAATCTGGTTGGAGTGGTGGGTTCAGGAGAGAAGAGGCTGACGGAGCCGGAGAGGAGGCAACTCCAGCGGGTGGTACGCTTAGGGGAGCCGCGGCTGGGCGGCAGCTGGAGGCCAGCGGGGAAGTCAGGCAGGTTCTCAGAAACGGACGTGGGTGACCACCAGCACCCAGAGAGGAAGAGGCGGAGACAGATCTGTCGCCTCCTGTACTCACCCAACCAGAGGTCCAGCCGGCACGCACCCTGACCACGAATCGAACCCGAAACCTTTCAGTGCACTCAGGAGGCTGGCACTGACTTTAACGGAACAGAGGGGCCGGGGGGCCAGCACCATCTGGGCACCCCGACCCTGTGCCAGGGCAACAGGAGCAGCAGAGAGCACATTCTCTCTCGGGCAGGCGCCACGCCCCTCTCCGGCTCCAAACCAGCCCATTTCAGAGCAGCCGGAGGGGGCGCTGGGTGGGGTCAGGGAAAGCCCGGGCTGTGGGGAGGCAGACCCGGCCCTGGCTTCCCTCTCCCGGCCAGCGTGTGGCAACCTCTCCGTGCCTCAGTTTCCCCGGCTGACGGTGGGAATTTAAAGTGAGCCCCCACACCTGTTTTTAGCGTCTGCTCGGCACATGATAGGTTCTCAGATTTTGGTGGCTGTTTTTATGGATCCAAATTGGGGCACCGTTGGGAGTGGGAAATAGTGAATATTGGGGTGGGGGGGACTAGTGAATACGGGGGAATTATCCTTTTCTTCCTTTACCAGGTGTACCGGTTAATAGTGCGGATTTTTTTCACTAGAGTTACACATATGTTGATATATATGTGATTTGATATGTATGCTATTTTGTTGTATTGACAGCAAGCTTCAAAACTTCATATGTCATATTTTCTGAAGGTGTTAACATCATAGATATTTTTATGCTTAAAAATGTCGAATTTCGTGCCAAAAAAGGAGCATTGGCAGGAAGTTTTAATTCATTACTTTATTTTGAAGAAAAGCGCTGCTGAAAGCGATCGTATACTTCGGGAAGCTTATGGTGAACATGCTCCGTCTCAAGATACTTGTGATCGCTGGTTTAAACGCTTTAAAAGTGATGATTTCTATGTGGAAGACAAAGAACGTCCAGGTCAACCGAAAAAGTTTGAAGACCAACAATAACAAGCATTATTGGATGAAGATGCGTGTCAAACTCAAAAACAACTTGCAGAAAGAATAAACGTTGTTCAGCAAACAATTTCCGATCGTTTACAAGCAATGGGAAGATTTTAAAGGAAGGAAAATGGGTGCCACATCAACTGAACGAAAGACAAATGGAAAACCGAAAAGTCATCAGTAAAAAGTTGCTTCAATGGCACGAAAGAAAGTCTTTTTTGCATCAAATTGTGACTGGTGATGAAAAGTGGATTTATTTTGAGAATCCCAAATGCACAAAATCATGGGTTGATCCAGGTCAACCATCAACATCAACTGCAAGGCCAAATCGCTTCGGAAAGAAGACAATGCTCTGCGTTTGGTGGGATCAGGAAGGTGTGGTGTATTATGAGCTTCTAAAACCAGGTGAAACCATTAATACTGATTGCTATTGACAACAAATAATCAATTTGAGCCACGCTTTGATCGTGAAACGACCAGAATGGGCCAGAAGACACGGCAAAGTAATTTTGCTTCATGATGACGCACCATCACACACTTCAAAACCAGATAAAGGCACGTTAAGAGATCTTGCCTGGGAAGTATTAACCCACCCGCTGTATTACCAGACCTTGCTCCTTCAGATGACCACTTGTTCCGATCAATGGCACACGCACTTTCTGAGCAGCACTTCAAAACGTACGAGGAAGTGGAAAATTTGGTCTCTGAATGGTTTGCCTCAAAACAAGAAAATTTCTATTGGGACGGTATCCACAAATTACCTGAAAGATGGGGGAAATGTGTAGCTAGCGATGGACATTACTTTGAATAAAGCACTTTTGATGTTTCTCTTGAAATTATCGTGTTTTCTTTGATTACAAAATCCGCACTATTAACCGGTACACCTGGTAAGTCCTGTTTACTGGGGCGATTAAAAAAAAAGAGGTTTAGTCAAGGAGCCGGGAAGTCCAAAAAGGTGGTGACCGAAAGCAAGGAGGCGGGAAGCACGGCCGTGGGGAACTGCCCGCAGGTGGTGGGGCGGTGCGGGTGCAGGTGCGGGTGCGGGTGCGGGAACAGCCTCGCCCCTCCACTCCGGCCCCGCCTCTCCACCTCCGTACCTGCCTGCAGGCGGCTCCACGGCGCTCTCGCACCTTCTTTCTAGCTTCCACTCGCCGCCACCGGGGCTGCCCGGCACAGAGGGCGCGAAGGGACCGGGAGTTTCGGTGGCTGCCCCACTTCGCTCCTGCTCCGCTGGGATTCCGCAAGCGCCCGAGCGTCTGCAGTGGGCAGGAGGAAGGGCGTGCGGGTTGGGTGTCGTCGCCTAGCAACCAGCATCACGCTCCGGCGCCGTGGCGAGAAGACTACAACCCCCAGAATGCCTAGCGCCCGCGGCGCGGCAGAGGACAGGGCCCCGCCCCTGCGATGCCCGACGGGACTTGTAGTTTC